AGGATTAAAGCAGGCCAGCTGTCAAATAGGGCAGGGGTGGGCACTCATGAGGTGATAGGAAAGGGATCGGATGGGTTTGGGGAGGGTCAAAGGCCAAACTCACAACCAAGGACCCAAAGGCTCTGGGTGCAAGTAGGTCCACAGCTGCATTAGTCATTTCTGTCAAAATGCCTCTGTCAGAAATAAAGGGGGAGGCGGTAGTTCCATATTCATGGCCTCAACCAAGACACCCATAATGTTATCATTTGTTCAAGAGTTCAGGGTGATCTTCGGAGCACCCTCCCTACACTTTCTCTTGCCAACAACTACACTCCGTAACAATTACCCTGCGAGGTAGGTTGGGCTGAGAGTGCGACTGACCCAAATTCACCCAGTGATTTCTATGCAACCTGAAGCTGGCTCTCCCCGATGCCTGTCGACTTCGTTACTGCTGATTAAATTTAGGTATTCGTATTGTTCCTTCTTATATATTTAGTTATTATATTGAATGGCCTGCGAACAATTCTAATGATCAGAATGTGGATGAGATAGGCTTGCATGTTATGTTCATGATGGCTATTAGTGACAGTAATCATTGAGAAACTGGTTCTGAGTAACGTTTTGACGGTGGGACCTTTGAGGGCGAATGGCAGGCCGAAGGCAGCTCTGTATATTTATTTATTTATTAAATTTATATACCGCCCTATCTCCCTTGCGGGACTCAGGGCGGTGAACAGGCGATACTAAAAACCACAATAATAAATAAATAGTTTCTATTTTAAAATCGAATTAAATAATAGGCCTGTTCTAAAAACACACCCATACAAAACCCCCCCACTGAAACATAATCAAACTATGCCAGGCCGGCCGCACAGAATAGATGGGCCTTCAGGGCTCGGCGAAAAAGGCGCAGGTCCGCAACTGTACGTAGGTCAGGGGGTAGGTCATTCCAGAGGGCAGGAGCTGCCACAGAGAAGGCTCTCCCCCTGGGGGTCGCCAGCCGGCATTGTCTGGCCGATGGCACTCTAAGAAGGCCCTCTCTGTGGGAGCGGACTGGTCGAAGGGAGGTGTTTGGTAGGAGGCGGTCTTGCAAATACCTAGGTCCATTGCCATGGAGCGCTTTAAAAGTTGTTACTAACACCTTGAAGCGCACCCGGAAGGCCACCGGCAGCCAGTGCAGCTCGCGCAGGAGAGGTGTTACATGGGAGCATCTAGAGGCCCCCAAAATCCCCCGCACAGCCGCATTCTGAACTAGCTGGAGCCTGAACTAGCTGGAGCCATATGAAGTGGAGCTGATGATTGTGGCTGAAAAGAGGAGCCGATGGGTAGATCAATTCCTTTAACCGTCTCTGGTCAAAGGAGGGACTCAAGATCTCCCAAGCTGCACTTCATATGGTTGCTTCTCATAAGGAGCCTGCACAGTAGGGGTTTCTGGAGCATGGGAAAACCAGGAGCACAAGGGAATTTGTCACATTTGCTCCATCCACAATCAGAGCCTTTCAAAGGACACCGATCTTGCGCTTCCTTCGCTAATCATTTTTGGACATTGGCTATTAATTCTCTAAATAAGTTAGACACTTTCAAAATGACAAGGCTGAAACACCGAGTGCCTTCAATTCTTAATATAAGAAGATGAAACTATCTTCATAAGCTTTAAGAATTTAAAATAAACAACAAAAATCAAGATACGTTTTTTGCTATAGAACGTTTTAAGCAGACTAAAGGCTCAGAAAAAAAATAGAATGTTTGATTTTGAATATTAAGACTTTGAAATTAATTTTAAAAAAATAAATGCATTTTTATGGGAGAGAAAAAATTAGTTTTGATATTGGAGACATAACAAGGTGACAAGTTCGGAGACATTTTTGAGGAATTGCATCAGGACCTTTAATCAATAATGTCAGCTGTGTGGTGTGTTCTTAGGAACGGTTTGTTCCCAGAAGAATTTGTTACAGAAAAAGATTTACAGCAATATTTATCTGAAAGCAACATGGACAACAATTTGTCACTACACATACAAAAAAAATTGGATGAGGCTTTAAAAATTAATAGGAAATAAACATGCCAATCCCAAAGAGCAAATGGAAAAATTTCTTCTTGCTAGACCTATAAAAGAGGCTTTTTAACATTTTGGAAAAAAATAGAGACAAGGATCAATAATCTAAATCGACTAAAGAATAAGATTATTTTACGCAAATGGAAGGAACACAAACTTGGTTTATTTGATCAGGGTTAAAATGGGACATGTTATTTGGGGTGGGGTTTTTTTGGGAATCTGCTGACATTTGGACTGGAAAAATGTGCATTGAATTTGCTTACAATTGACATAGCGCTTAGGCCTTTTTCCCTATACTGTAGTCATTTTATGTAATCTGATAATATTTAAATTGCTTTGTATCTAATGGTCGTTTTACTTAAAATAAATTTTTGTGAGCTTGTTCTTCTTAAAGGAGAATTTGTCCCTCTTGCTATCTTAAGTATCAATCTTTTGTTCATAGTAGGATACTGAGACCACTTTATGCCTTCTAAATGTGCATCTGCTGTTAAGATTTGAGATATGGTGAGAATTATATCTGCTAATTAATGTTATCACTTTAGGGCAGTTTGGATTTTTTTGCTAATACCCAGATTGGAGATGTTACTTATTGGATTTACCTATAATTAAGAGTTATGGAATGAGGTGTTTTCTATCTGCTAATTAAGAGGAGGTGAAGAAATAATGAAATTGTTTATACCGTACTTGTCATGATTAAGATGGAAAATCACTTAAAGGTTTTTTAATCTTTAATATTTTTTTGCCTTCTTGAAACTTTTATTCTATTTTTTTTTCTTTTCCTTTTTAGTTTGTATTATTATTATTTTTTACTATTGTAATTAAAACACCCTTAATAAAATAAAAAAAAAAATGTTTTGAGGGTCATATTCTATTTTGATAAGGCCAAAGTTAAAGTAGCTAAGTATGTAGGTGTTATGTGTATGAATGCATCTGGAAACAATACCATTATTTGCATTTGCATGTCCTCTGCATGTCTACTCAGAAGTAAAAGCCAGGGCAGCCAGAAAAGGTCTGCAAACATATTCAGAAGTCTTACTAGCTTCAGTGTGACTTCCAGTGAAGCAAGTTGTAACCTCTTTGTAGAAAGTAAACAAAAAACAAATCCTCAATGAATTATAAGCCACAGGTCTTTGCATCATACCTTCTCCAATTTTTCCATCCAGTACAAATCCATCTATGAAGCTTCTATTTTCTTAGAGAAAGTTTGGAGATATTGCTACTCAAACGATACAATCTATTTAGAGGTGAATCCAATTAAGTTGGCTTATTATCACGTAAGAGGGTGGCAGGATTTCTGCTTTCTTAAACAGAATTAAATAACACGAGCAGAATCAGAAAGCGCTGATTATATTTACAACGCTGATGCAGCTCCTGTAAAAATAAAAATAAAAGCATCCTTCACCACCATCTCCCCTTCTAACAACTGGCTTTACAACAAAGCATCCTCGGGAATAACACACTGATAATGTGTGCCTAATGCTGCAGGCATCAAACCCTTCCCAAGGATTGCTAGGCTCATTTACCATATAGGCCTATTCTATTTCTAGTCATTACTTAAGCTCTGAGGCCTCAGAGGCAAATAGAAGGCAAACAGGAACCTCATTCGAGTTGAGCCGACTCCAGATAGCAGAAAAGTGCATTTCTTATGGGATATTTTTTGATATCCCAGTCTAGGCTTCCCAGGCACTTCCCAGGACTAACCAGACAAGACCTTGCTTAGCTTCAGAGCCCAATTGATATCAGAAAGGTACTGCAGATTGGGGGAGGGGACCAATGAAAGATTACAAGAAGCAATTAGCTAAACTTGCCAATTTACCATTATCGGGTTCCCTTTGCCATTAACCAACTACAAAGAAAATCATGCTTCCAATAGCAGGAGAAAGATAAATCCTCTCTTGATAAATGGGTATCCAATGATCATGCCAGGGGCTCCCTAGTGGGACTCGAAGAAAAACCAGCAGAGATGGATCAGCACAAACCTGATCAAGGGACAGGTATTGATTTCAGATGTTTGGGACCCAGGATTCTGTAGGGACAAGAGTTTGCTGCAAAACATCACTTTAAAAAATGCCACCTCAGAACATTTGAGCTGGTCAGTGGGCTTCAATTAGCTTATTACAGGGACTCAAAAAAAGCCAGTCAACATTTGGTTAGATTTAACCCAGAAAGCCCTGAAGGTACAGGGTTAAACTAAGCTCCCCCATCAGCCATGACTTTGAACATGATGAGAGTTAAACCAGGGTGACCATTCATTCATATTCTCACTGCTAGCACAGAGATGATAACATGGAGAATCCTTGCAAAAACGGGGGTTTTCTAGGCGTGTTTGTTTCAACTTTTCTGCTTACAACATGAACATCATGGGCTCCAGATAGCAGAAACTGCTTACAACATGGATAACACAGGGTGGGGAGGAAAGAGATATATTTCTCCCAACCTGCTATGTTTTTCAAAGGATATTTTTCTCCAAATAATAATTGAAAAAGAAGACAGCTAGGTGCATTGCATTTGCAACCTCAGTTCTTTCATGGAAAGGTAAAACTGATGGGTAAGGATTTCTTTCTCCAGGGCCACGAATGAAAGTTGGGCACCAAATGAATCTAACTGCAATGTAGTTCTGTGTTGGGAGTCCCTATCTGCTTCCTTTCCCAAAAGCCTCTGAATAGTAGCAGCTCTTGTTCCAGGCCCTATGGGAAGCCATTCCATTCACTGGGATGGAGGTAATATACCCAAAGCTTTCCGCAATATATGTTTATTATTGGTGATTTCTTACCAACACTTTCTCATTCATTTTCAAAGTTTCAACTTGGCTTGCATTGTATTAGAACAGGGAAACAAATCAGTTCCTCCACCTTGTAAACAACCAGAGGCAGATAGAGGTCCGGCATCTGGCAATTTCTTTAGTGCACAAGTTCACAAGGCTGGGGGTGGGGGGCAGAGGGGGGGGGAAAGGGACACTACATGGAAGGGAAGGGAGAATTACAGGTCTTTCTGCCATGTGAGCTGCAGTACTTGATCTGAAGTACTTGATCTGAAGTTGCCCCTAACTCTGTTTCATAGGTGGCATGAGGAATGGAGCTCTTGGGACTGATGGGATTTAACTGGAGGATGAACAAAGGCATCTGGGAGACACAGAAGCCTGCAGAGATGCGTCCTCTCAGCTACACACCTTTCTCTGTCGATGGCCTTCAGTGAGGTAAAGTTCAGGCAGGCCTCTTCCTTGGAGAGGTTTACTGGCAGTCAAGTCAGGGGGAGAGGGGGCAAGTCAACTTCTTCCAGCCTAGAAAGAGGCTCATATTCATATTCCCATTCCCTGAAAAAGCCCAGAAGGACATTGCAGATGACACCAAAGCCGTAGATCTTGGCCAACGCAGATTGAATGAGGCTTGAGAGTTTAAGTCTGATGGTCACAAATTACATTATTATGACGCTCTTGAACTTTCTGTCTGGAAGTCACCAGTGGGGAATTCATGGCTCGTTAAAGGATGATCTGATTCTTGAAGCTGCGGCTGAGCTCCTTGTGAGGAAGCACGATGGAGTTCAGGATGACCACTTCAGCGGGAATGGTCACATTGCATCCTGTTGGCGGGGTGGGGTGGGGGGGGGAGAGGTTTAAAAAGGATTAGCTCAGAAAGCAGGCTGGGGAGGAGCTGTAATCCCACAAGGGACTCCTGCTTAAAAAGGCAGGGAGGTCCCAACTGTTTATTGGGGAAGAGAGAAACAGGATACAAAACTTACCCAGAATAGTGATAGATGGAGTCAGACGGCCATCTCGGAAGAGTGTCTCGCTGTTGATCTTGGCATAGGGATCATTTGGATTGGGATCACTGGGGGTACCCTCTACACGAGCCCAGCGTCCAATGGTGCTGTCCCAGCCGACAATGCTGTTGAGCACACACGTATGATCCTATGGAAAAGAGAGTGGGGCATTCTATGGGGAGTCAGACATACATTGCCCGGAGCTGCCAAAGTTCAAGTCTCCCACAAATCAGGTACACCGCAGCCCCTGAAATTTCTTTCCTTTTTGAAAGAACTGCAAATAACCGAAGCTTCCCAGGAAAGGCTACATCCCATGAAATTTTAGTGAACTTGTAGAAGAAAGAAAATTAAAAATTGTCTCCTTCCCAACACTTGGGGCATTCTAAAATGAATGCCTTATGTTACTGAACCACAGACTTTTGCTAGGTCCAATACAGATTGGATGCTGAAAAAGCAGTGCAGGGAGCAACTGTCCAACAATTCAGTCCATGCATTTAAAAAGAAACAGGCAAAAGGGACAGAGGCCACAGGGGAAGAAAAAGGAGGAAAGACTTAGTTCATTGATACATTTGCAGTCATCAGGCAGCTGGGAAGCAATTCAGCCTTTATGAATGCCCCCCCACTGCCTGTGCAAAAGAGATTCCCGCCTCCGAAAGTGCAGTAGCAGACATTTTAAGGGCTTCAGTTCATTTCCTAAGACCCTGCATCTGATCCAGAGAATTGTAGACCACAGAACCTGGGCCACAAGTACATAGCCCCACAGGAGATAGGCAGCAAAATAATAATAATAATAATAATAATAATAATAATAATAATAATAATAATGACGACGAGGAGGAGGAGGAGGAGGAGGAGGAGGAGGAGGAAGAAGAAGAAGAAGAAGAAGAAGAAGAAGAAGAAGAAGAAGAAGAAGAAGAAGAAGAAGAAGAAGAAGAAGAAGAAGAAGAAGAAGAAGAAGAAGAAGAAGAAGAAGAAGAAGAAGAAGAAGAAGAAGAAGAAGAAGAAAAAAAAACAACAACTGGAGCACCACTTGGATACCATTGGCATTGACAAATTCACCATCAGTCAATTGCAAAAGGCAGCCTTACTAGGAACAACTTCCATCCTGCAATGATATGTAATACTATCAATTCAAACATCTACATCTACCTATCCCAGGTCCTTGGTAAGGACTCGATAGGTAGACAAAAATGCCAAATCCAGTTTGAACATCTGGCTGACTGTGCAATGATCAATAATGATGATGATGATGATGATGATGATATAATAATAATAATAATCTATTAGCTTTGAAGAGGACCAACAAATCTCTTTGTTCATTCAGTACAGTACTCTTATAAACATTTGCAGCACAGTAGCACCACCTGCTGGGCAGTAGAAAAATATGAAAAGCAAATACTCTAGATGCGGAATAGGACAACTTGCCACAGACAACTCACTGTGACCACCTCACCCCACAGCCAACTCACTGCGGGACAACTCATTGCAGGACAATTTATATCAGGGTAACTCTTGTCCTGCAGTGAGTTGTCCTGGCTGTAGGGAATTGCCTCTGGCAAATTGGCTGTGGTGAGTTGGCCTCAGCAAATTGTCATATAACCCCTCTAGAAGATGACTTGTTATGAAAACCTGTTAGATATAGCATTAATCCCAAGGTAACATCCCCATGTGATACAAGGCAAGATTATCATTGTGTTACTGCATTAATCTCCTATCTTTTCTCTGAGTTTTCAGGGTACCGTAGGTTGTGATTCTCTCTTCATTTGTTCTTTTGAATAAGATTCCTCTCATTATATGTTAATAACAACTTGTAGGTTGGACCAAGAAATAGGAACCGGCCAAAAGGCACCCAGCAGGTTTTATGCCTGAATGAGATTTGAACTAGGGTCTCCATGATTCCAGGCCATATTTTCAATGCTATATTATATTGGTTCTATGTACGGAGGGGTCCAATTATAGTGGATTCCACCAATTCCAGGCAACATTGCTTATGGTTAGGAATGACAACAGTTGCATCCAATACAAACAGTCCTTGCTTACTGACACTAATTAGGACCAAGAACTCCATTACTAAGTGATGTGGTCATGAGATGCAGGGTCACGTGACCATGCCAGCCTATGAAAGCAGTTCTGGCAGTCCCAAGAGGCATTATTAGGCAAATCCTGTGCAGTTGCAGCATGTCATGTGATCACCTTCTGTGACTTCCTGCCAGCTTCCCCATTGACTTTGTTTGTCAGACGCCAGCAGTGAAGGACCCAAATGGCAAACATGTGATTATGGGATGATGTGACACTGTAACTGCGAGGCAGTTAACAATACCTGATCGCAATCATATTTAACTATAGGAATGGGGTGATAACAGCAACTACTATAGGACAGGTCATAAGTGCCCCTCATCCAGTTCAGCCGTCGTTGCTGAACGAACGGATGTTAAAGGAGTATGATCAGGCATGTAGTAGTAGTCTGAGCAAAGCTGTGATCAAGAGTCTGGTGTAAAGCCTCTTATGTATTAAATTTATTAATTTTTTTATGCCTCCAATCTCCCCTATAAGGTGGCTCTGGGCAGTTTATGAAACAAAAATATATATAATTAAAATATTAAAACTGCACAGATTTAAGACGACAAAAGCTATACTAAAACCAGAACTGAGAGAGGGACGGGACAACAATGGTCAGGAGGCATTTTTGTTGAGCCACCCTCAGTGCCTCCAGGTGGGAGCATCTACATAGGCAGCGTCTCAAAGCGGAATGTTCCAGCGCTCACAGCACCATTTCACTCAACCTCTAACATATAAAGTGGGAGATGATGGATTATCTTTCCCCCCCGTTTTTTAAACGGGACGCATGGAGAGGAAATGAAAGTGGGGAAATGAAATTGCACTGTTTCAGAGAAGACAGCTTTGTTTAATAATAGACATGCCTTTCTTTTTTATTGTTTCGTACGTGATCCAGTATCTAAAGAACCCCAGAAGAACGCTCACTAATAAAACACACTATTTTTTAAAGCATCAGTGGGGCAACACTTCTATAATTAGTGAAGACACGGCTATAGGTTAAGTAAGAATTAGACTGAGGGGGATTGCCGTATGCCAAATAAATAAATAAATAAGGGATATAAGGATTTAATTTTCCACAGATGACATGTCATTATTTGACTTGCAGGAAGTTTATGGGATGCCCAGCAACAATGATATAAAACAGTGGTTCTCAACCTTTTTAATGCCGCGACCCCCAACCGGTCGTAAGTCGAGGACTAAACCGGTCGTAAGTCGAGGACTAAACCGGTCATAAGTCGATGACTACCCAACCGGTCGTAAGTCGAGGACTTTCCCTGCCCGGGAGCGCCGCGCATGTGTGGTTCCGCCCCCTGCGCCGGCCGAGGCGTAGCTGGCAAGCGGCAGAGACAGACCAGGCCGACCACCAGCTGGCCCAGCCCAAGGGAGGTAAGGCACCCACCGGAAAAGGGGGAAAAAATGGCGGACAGCCTTGCTTGGCGACCCCCGTGAAATGGTTCTATCGACCCCAAATGGCGTCGCGACCCATAGGTTGAGAACCGCTGATATAAAACGACTGCATAAATATCAATCCTAAAAATGCAAGTCATGCAAACGCTAGGTCAGGGGTAGACAACCTCGGCTCTTTTATGACTCATGGACTTCAACTCCCAGAATTCCTGAGTCAGCATAGCGGACTCAGGAATTCTGGGAGTTGAAGTCCATGAGTCATAAAAGAGCCAAGGTTGCCTACCCCTGGGCTAGGGTATGGCCCATGGGATTTTCAGAAAACACCTACCTGGAGAGATGCTCCGTGCAGAATGATGGATTCACGTACTCGCACTCCTGCACCAATGGTCACTCCTTTCCCAATGGAGACATTGGGGCCCAGCTACAAGAAAAAGCCAAGGGAGAGACGCCAGGGGTCACTAACCTGGCAGGCAAGAGTCCCTTCTTAGCCCCCAGGCTTCTTCTGTCCTCAGGGGCAAAGACAGGGACTAGATGGAACAGGCTCTAAAACCCAGCCCTGCCCCACACATGCTAAAGCGAGGGCGGCGAGGGGGATTCTTTTTAAGAAGTCTCTAAGTGTCCAATCTAGGATTTTCACAATCTACACAATCCTAGATTGTGCAGAAATGGACAGATTAACGTTAGAGATGAAGGAGAAAGAAGATTCAATCTTTTATAAAACCTGGGGAAAATGTTATCAGTGGGTTGAAACACGTTAGAATAAGAAGAGATTTTAGAGCTTTATTATATTAAGTATGAAGGCTGATGACTGGAAATAGTTGTGATGCTATTAACTATGTTAATTATTTAAAGGAATATTACTGTTTTATCAATTATTAGTTGTAACTATACCAATTTATTTTTTATAAATGTCTAGTATTATATAAAGAATAATACTCAATATGAAGACCCAGACGACAGCTTGTTCGCTGAATTATGTATTTACTGTAGTTACCCACACCGTCCCCTTTATCCCGATTTTCCTGTACCCGCACCGACCCCCCCTTTTCCCTACCCATATAAAATTTAATAAAATATATTACAAAAAAAAAAGAAGTCTCTAAGTGTCAACTGAGGCTTAGCCCTCCCCCCACCTTTAAACCCTCTACCCATGCTTTTTAAAATCCTATTATTGGGAGGGGAAAAGGGAGGGGAAAGGAAAGACCAGTCATCACTTCCTGTCAGCACTTTGAGGTAATCCAGACAAGAAACCAAAACCAGGAGTACTAATACCTTTATTGTGGATCTGGCCAGTCTGAAAGCCCTTCTTCCTTTCCCTCCCTTTACTTTCCAGAGAACTAGGAAGCTCCCTTCTGAGGCGCTTTCCCTGCCTCTGTTCCTTCTGTGAGCTGAGATAGCTTTGGTCTGAGTTTGCCTACACTCCTCTTCCTCCTGTCTGCCAAGGTTATTCTCGCAGCCTATTACACACACACCCTCCCGCCCCAATTCCCTCAAAGCATCCTTCCCTTAATAATGCATTTAAGCTTGAGGGGAAAGAACTAATTTGTTTATACGCATGCAAGCCTACACAGGTGTAAATAACCTATTTGTGCACATGGGGGTGGAGGGGGGAAATGGCAGGCCTACCCTATAGCCCTGGCTCTGGCCCTGCTCATGCCCACCAAGACACTGTGACCCTGGGTCCTCATTCTTTTGTGGGAAGCAGCAGGTATCACCCAACCCACAGACTTACCACAGCACTGGCATCCACCGAGGCCGTTGGATGAATATAGACATTCCCTGTATGGAAAAGCAGCAGCAATTAATAATAATAATAATAATAATAATAATAATAATAATAAT